CGCATGTGCAGTTTTTCTGTTAATATTCCTTGGCATGAACCAAATGAAATGTTGCATTCTTTTGCCATTTCACGAATGGTTAGACGTCGATTCGAACGCACGAGGTCATTCACTTGGAAAACATGCACGTCGAACATGCATGTCAGTTGAAACCGTTGGGCGTCCTGAATGAGGATCGTCTGCAATTGATGCCCGGCCTTCTTTGAATCTTTTAAACCATTCGTGACACTTTGAACGACTCAAACAATCATCCTCAAAAGCTTTTTATAACATTTGATAAGTTTCTGTAAGCGTTTTCCCCAACCTCACACAAAATTTGATGCAAACGCGTTGCTCTTCTTTCAATCATGAAAAAACTAAAAAACACTGAACACGAGATAGTCGATTTACCAAAACAACTGTCATTGCTATAATTCATTACTGGCACCAAATAAATCTTCGGAAAATTTGGATAGTTTTTGTGCTCGCTCAGATCTTTTTCGTATCTTTTCTTTTGTAGGAATTCATAGTTTTTATTTCATACAAAAAAAAGATAAGTCTTACAATTATATCATTTAAAATAAAAGTCTTAAACTAATCAATTACTTTTTTGGATAATAATAAAATCGTCTTGGAAGTGAAATTAACACATCACAGCATTTTTAGGTGTTTTTTTGCCAATTTTCAAAACATTTTCCCACTGTTGCTTAAAATTAATGTTACTAGGAAATGCATGAAAACTAACACCAGTATCACCACGTCCTAAATATAATAAAATAATATTAAATATTATAGTAAAGTGTTATATTAGTAACAGTAATAATAAATCATTAGTTATATTACTAGATTTGTATTATTTTTATTGAAATATTGAACTTACATATTTTTCTTAATGCACTGAGGTACACAATAGTATCTTTTCGAATGGTAGCGTTTGGTATTTAATTGATTTGAGTAGTTATGATTGGATATGAAAATTTTAAATTATTATATTTAAATATTAAATAATGAAAGTTTAAAGAAATATTTTAAAAATTCACAATTCACACCAGGCTTTTAGTATTTAAAATGAAATAATTTCATCATTAGCCTATATTTCGTTAGTTCTTAGTAATACCGCTAGAGTTCAGTTAGTTTGATTGGGATCGGCAATACAGAAACGCACTCGCACATTCGGAGCATAAAAAGACGCACTCGTACGAAAAGGGAGTAAACGGACGCACTCGCACGATCGGAGCATAACAGGACGTTCCGAGTTTTCTCGAGTTTCAACATAATAATACCATAACCGACCGCCTTGTGACTAACAGTCAGGAAAGAACGGCGTTAGCGAATTCCACGGCACTTACGACAACTTTGGGTAAATCCTAAGTTCCAGTGTAAAAACAGCACAATTGGACGCTCCGTGATTTAACAGAATTATGAAAGGACGGCGTTCGGTAATTCCACGGCACTTACGACGGACCTCGGGTTGTCCCACTTCTGAAATGTTAGCATTAAATTAAATAAACGCTCGGTCAGGAATATAGGTGTATTTTAAACAGAATATATATGAAAAAAGGTAAAAAGAATAATACGTTGATCAGCATCGGTTGCTGTGGACACGATCACGAAAACGGAGACCAAACACTAGTCGGTAAACGAACGAACAGGACCCCTACCAGCCACCGCGGTCGTGCGTGCCGGAGCAATGGGTCCGTGGTACAGTGTGACCAATCTGATTAAAATAATTGCCACCAACACTACGTTCTATCATGGATCAAAATTCAACTACACTTACGTACAATGTTTCCCAATAATTAGCATACAATCATTCGTCTTGAGTTTTAAATACATTAATAACACTAAGTTTAGTTAATGGTCACATACACGAACACCATGATAACTCGATAATATTGGCTTTGGAAAAATATAAAACAAAAATTAATTAATATTTATGTTAGATTTGAAGCGGTGATAAAAAAAAATTAGTAGGCATTTATTGAATCTCTCTCCAATATTATGTTATTTAGGGACCCATTGTAAATTTTTGACGGATGCCCGATCATCAGCCAGACCGACACTGGCACCAACCCACCATACCCACTCAATACATGTCCACTCCATTAATTTCTCTTTTTCTTGATATTATTCCATATAGTTCTTTACTCATTCTTTCTATTAATAGATTATATACTACAAAAATTACATCCTCCAGGCACGTATCCAGAATTGTATTTCGGGAGGGGCTGATTGAAATGTATAATTATAGTCATATATTAAAACAAAAAAAAAATAAAATGTAATGACTTAATTGTATTACAATGTATACAACGTATTAGCTATTAAGTACTAAATACATAACTGGTCCTCTCAATATATTAAAAGTTATATAAAAAGTATATTACTAAATATTGTGTTTGTGTTGTCCTGGTATCGCTTTATAAATTTATGGCAACCCTAATATTGTGCATTGACTTGTAGCTGTCATACACCTTATACTAATAGACGGAGTATTACTGATTGACGGGGTTGGTAGGTGCGCTCACGACTATTCTCATATCAGTGTTGTCACCTCTGACGACATAAAATATGTTTATTTTCATATTTATACAGTATATTATTATTAAAACATTTTTTTAATTTAAAAAAATCAATTTGCGAAATAAATAATCCCGTAAACTTAGTCCCCAAAAAAATAACACTATATTAAAAATGATTGTGTTTCTACTTAATTATAAATGAATAATATAATGATATAATTATATTATTTGTATATGTATTCTTATCATACAACAATTTTTAAAACGCAACAAACGATCGCCGAACCTATAACCAATTCTATTGCGCATGTGCGTAGTAAATTGAGTAATAGTAGAATAGCGCATTCACGTCTGACCGCTGGAACTATAGGTACCCATGCTCCGTCTATTAGTATTAAGGACGGTTTACACGCAAAGATTTGTACCTGTTATCAAACACGACTAATCGTATTAAGTAAAACGGAGCGTGTATACAGTAAATCGTACATCTTATCGAATCGGAATGAAATCCAAGATTGGATCGAAAGACTGATGGGCGTGGATTCATTTTTCGTGAAATTGAACGACATGTAAATACAAACTTGATGCATAGTACAATTGTTGTCCTTTTTAGGTTAAATTTTCTCCTAGACTATAGTTTAAATTTAGCTTTTTTTTTCTTTTTTAATAATTTCTCTTATAATATATTATAGTATTAGTACATATTTAAATTAGTCATAATGTTTACTTGAAATCGACTTTTTTACATTTTCAAATTATTTTATGAATTTCATATTATTTACATTATAAATTTATTATTATTTAAGATTTTAAAATCAATTTATTAAGGGTATAAAAATAATAATTCAAAAAAGTAAAAAAGTCGTTTTCAAGTCAACTTCATGACGAATTCAAATATGTTTTTATGAGTCTTATTCAATCATTAGGCAGGTTAGTACAATTGGCAGAATATAGGTATATTTTGATAGAAAACTTAGCCAGGGTCGAATCCTCTTAACCTATAATATTTATTAAATAATATAAAATTTGATTCTTATGGTATTTTTTGTTTTCTTGCGAACATGTCTGATCTACGGAAATTCTGTTGCACACGTATTAGGAACATTATGGTAAACTACAATAGTGCTTCTTCCATATCGTCAAAAGTCACTAAAATAACTGAATACTACTGAAGAGTGAACAGAAATACAGTCGAAACTAGGATGGAAAACTGAATAAAAGTTGGAACGTGTAGACATTTTATACAATGTAGGTAAGTCTTAATGTTCATTTTACAAGTCCAGTAAAACGTGTAATAAGTCGTTACATGTATACCGGGCTTAAGGTCTATGGCAAATCTATACTGCTCGGCAATCGTTTATATATAATATTTATAATTGTTTATAAATAGTATTTATGATTCCCAGTATTACATCTAAATTTTGTCTATGAGTAGTAAGATAAACTAACAAAATAAAAATATGAATTTAAAATCGATAAAATGAAATTTAATATTTTTGTAACGACTTTCATAGACCATGAAAATATTTTTCAGATTTTCTTAACATTTGTGGGTGGAGCTGCAGTCCACTCAGCAATAGCGTATATAGGTGGGGGTGTTAGGGGTTACTTAGCAGTAAGTAATTTAGATGGCAACCACAGCAACAATACTCATGATTGTGCATTAGAAGAAATGCTTAATTTACAAGTGTTTAATGAACATGAAGATTATACTGATTATAGTGTGTGCATTTATAATGTTTAGTACATAATATTTTTGTAATATAACAACTTAAATAATATAGTATAACTAAGTTTTGTATAAATCAAACATTGATATCGGCTATATTGGGCTACCTGACTTATCTGAGATAATGGCTATTTTGGGCGACTTGAACGCGCTCTACTGGCTGTACGACTCAAACATTATCTGGCAACCCTGCAATTCAGTGCTATGTGCGAGTCGTAGTGTGTATCATCCCTAAAAATAAAATTTCTGTTACGATCCTACTATCAACGAGGTATCAAGTATTAAAGTATGACATCACAGCCTTCATTACTACATTTTTTTAATAAAAAACCCGCTGTGCCCGAGCCTAATCATAGTGATGACATTCCTTGTTCATCAAATATTATTAATACCGAATTTGAAAGTAAACTGATACAATTAATTTAACTGAATTATCTGAAATGTATGATTTTAGTTTATATATAAAGAATACCTGAGCTTAAATATGATTTATTGAAAAAACCATGGCAGCCTTATACTTCATACAGCTATCCAGTAGTTTCAAAAAGAAAATTAAAAACCTGCCTTGAAAATTGGATTTTTTTGCTTTAATTTAATTATTATAATATTCTAGTTTTTATAATTTATTATTAAAATAAAGTTAATTTATAATAATAATTAAAGTGTGCCATAATAAAGACGGTTGATACTTTTCAAACTACCGTGCCTGGCGTTAATGCTTACATTTATTTTTCATCGTTGATAATGCAATATCTTTCTGTTATCTATAGTTTTCGCGCCTTAATTGTCTGTCGCGGTACTCTGAAGCATTTTTATATTAAATAATATTTTCTACGATCCTATTGTACGTTGTGTCCTAAGGGCCGAACCATGGATAAAAACATTAATATCCGAAGTCCTACACCAGAATAAATACTTTTTCCTCGTGTTGTGATAAATTATTTTTAGCGCTTTCGGTGTTGTTTATTTTGTGCATTGCTTATGTAGTTGTTGATATCTGATGACTCTCGAAGTATGAACAAATTTACCTCGTCTCGTTGTGTTTTTAATTTTATTAAATCCTAGGTTTCTTCTATTACAGGTATTAAATTGTATCCGTTGAAGTGAGCGGTGGTTTTTCGGTTTCCATTATAATTCAATTCGCGATGTCAGTAAAAAAAGAAATAGTGAAACACGAAAATGGTCGTGCGGAGTTGTTATCCAAAAAACGAAAACTCGATGAAATGATGAATGGATCAATTATCAGTATAAAATTAAAAAATTTCATGTGAGTTGATTTTTGGAAAAACCTTATTTACAGTAGAACTCCGATTATCCGGACTTATTAATGTCAAGTGTGGTCCGGATAAGCAAATATCCAGATGATTGACATATGACCTATCAAAAGTTATATAATTGTATGAATATATTGTATATATATGTATTTATTATTAATATGTATTTAATATCATTTAAAATTCGTAACCATAAACAAATAATTTAATTATAATATGTGACATATTTAAAAAAAAAAAATCCGACATGGCACATTATTTATTTTATTTTGAAAAAGTATATTTTATATCATAGTAGACTTTCTCTTTATAGCAGCTATGTCTCTCAATCTTCTTAATTGCAACCATTGAGTGATGTTCGATTCTTCTTGCCTCTCAAACCATTTAAATGCCAAATCCAATGCATCAGAAGCTTCAGAATGAAACTGTCCATTTTCACCTTCAGTTAAATTGTCAGTTTCATTTTCCTCTCCTTTAGTATCATCTTCTTCAAATAAGCTACGAACTATTTCTTTATCTGAAAGTATTTGATATTTAGGATCATTTGTATCCATACGCAACCACTCATTTATATTCTTCTCATCACAATTCTCATGTACATGAACATGGCATGAGCCATTAACTTTTTTTTTTTCTCGTTCGGTTGATTGGCATTCGGATAAACGGAGTTCTATTGTAATAGGTATTTTGTTAGGTTTATAGGTATTGTGTTATTTTAAATAACTTATTAAATATTATGAGATTATTTTTAATTTGAATTATAAATATTAGCTATTACATTAAGATGTAATTTAATCAAAAACTATTTCAATTGGATTTAATATAAGTATATTGGATTATAATAAATTATTATTATAATATAATTATTATATTTATATTATTATAAGTATATTGGATTATATTGGATTTAATATTCATTATACATATTAAGTTGGCTATAATCCTAAACATTGAAAAATATACAAAAAATTAAAATATTTTCATACATGGCTGTATTGAGACATTTATAACTTCAAGATATAATTAATTATTGTTAATTTTCTTTTAATTTATATTTTATTATCTAGGACTTTTACTGAAGTTGAATATCACGGGCATCCAAAAATAAATTTAATTATTGGACCCAATGGATCTGGAAAATCGTCAATTGTAACAGCCTTCATATTAGGGTTTGGTGGTGGCCCGAAAGATATAAACAGAGGAGATAAAGTAACTATAATTTATCATGTTAACAAAATAGGCTATTAATTTACGGTATATTCTTTGGGCAGTTATTGATTTATATAAAATTATAATGTTATGAAACATTATGTACTATTATAATAATAATTTACAACATTATTTTAATGGTTGTTAAACCACAATTATGGCTAAACGAAGTAAAATTGTGTGTAAGATAATAGGTAAAAGGGTTGGGTTTTGTTGTGGGATGAGAAACTGATGGAAATTGTGTAAATGGAAATAGACATGAAGAAGTAATGAGATTAGAGATAAGTGGTATTAAATTCAATGGGAGGATATGGTGAAAATTGCAAGGGTAGGTTAAATATTAGAACTGTCATGCTAAGAATCAATTTTAATATTATTTAGTTATATTCATTGATTATAGAATATTCCATAATCAATGGTTGTATTTAATATTATTTTATAATTACAAAATAGGTCAGTCATTTTGTAAAATTGGGAAAATCTCAAGCTGATATTGAAATTGAACTTTATCAAAAATCAAAGGAAAATATGAGATTGAGAAGAACAATATTTTATACCAATGAATCTTGTCATTATTATATTAATAATGTCATGGTCACAAAAAAAAAAGTATTTATTATTAAAGAATATTTTATTATTTATTATTAAATTATTTTGTATTTCTTTACTATTGCAGTACATTGAAATTGTTGAGAGTTTTAACATAAAAGTGCATAACTTATGTCAGTTTTTACCACAAGACAGATTAGAAGATTTTTCTAAATTAGATTCAAAAGGTTTATTATTAAATACACTACAAAGTATTGGTAAGTGAATTATAATTTGATTGACTTTAATTAATACTCATAAATTATTATAATATATTGTTTCTATTATAGAAGATACAGATTTACTAAACAAATTTGTAGAGTTAAAAAGTCTTGCTGATGGTATGGCTAATTTTGAAAATGATCAGAAAAAATTAAAAAATGCAATTAGTTCAGAATTTTCTGTTAATTCAAAGTAACTATTCTTTACACATTTAATTATATTAATTATATTTTAGATTATCTTAGAATAAAGAATGGTATTGTTTTTCATTTTGGTTGAATGGTCCCATAAATAACATGCAATTATATCTAATTAAAATTTAATATGAAATGTACTTTACGTTAAATTATTATCAAATCGTTAAATCATTTTTCAAAATATTGAATTTTACAGTATGATAAATTTTGATTTAGAATCTTGGCTAAGTAAATAATTCGTTGGCATTGACTATATGAATAAATGACATATTTTCATACAGTTTATAAGTTTGATTTAATTATTATACTATAATTTATGTTTTTGAGTACAAACTTATAATGTCTTCATATGAACCAAAAAGCTTATATATAAGACTTCATTAAATTTTAAATATTGATGAATTTTTATTATGAGTTATAATACCTTTTTTAATTATACTTTTAGATAAAATTAATTTATTATTTTTTATTTTAAGATGTAATAATTCATACGAGTGCAAAGGCAACCATCATCAGAAATCTAGGGGGGGGACATAGAGTTTTATAATAAAATTTACCTTTATATTAAATTGTCATAGGTAAAGTTATGTATATATTAATATTATTTTATTAAGTACATGCATTGTTGTTAAACCTATTGTTTATAAAATAGATATAATATGAAATTTTATAAAAAATGAAAATATATAAAATGATAATTATTATAATTTTAAAAATGTAATATAAACATTGTGCTTTATTATTTAAAAATAATTAATTTTAGTAACTAAAACAATAGTTTCAAATTGCGTTTATTTTTGGAAAATTTATTAATAACATTGTCAACTAAATTCATATCTTAAATTTACACATATAAATATAAAATTGGGACACAGCATTTCCACTATATGGTCTTAATATTTAAAGTACCAAAAAGCCAGGGGAGAACATGTCTCTCTCTTACCCTACCCCCAATGGACGTCCATGTACAAGTGTACAATTTTTATTCTCTTAACATTATACCTATTATAGTATTATATTTATAGTTACAGTATAAATATATTTTAGATATATTTAATACTTATTGTTATATATTACATAAACTTCCCTTTAGAATTATTTTTTGTACTATATATATATATATATATATTAATATTAACTTTTAATTAGAAATAATCATAAATAATAGCCTTAACAACTTTTTTGTGTAGTAACATTTTTGTAAATCTAATTTTTTACAGGTTGGAAACAATTGTAAATTCATTTACTGAGAAAAACGTTTTAGAAAAGCAATTATTAATTGTATTACAAAAAAGATGTTGGTCATTATATATTTTAGGTTGGCGGCAAATTCAAAATGTATGTACAACTTTTATCATGTTTTTTATAAAAATTTTAATGGATATTTATACCAAAACTTATCTTATATGTATATTATATTTTGTTTATAAACAAATTATAATCTTTAGTACTTTTGGACTTAGAAATACCGTTCTTAAAAGTAAATAACTTGCTAATTTTTATTTTATTGCTTTTTTTTAGGAAATAAAAAAATTTAGAATTGCAGAAAATCATAATAAAACTGCTTTGAGCATTATCAATCGACAAAAAGATAAAGTAAATAAGAAAAAATCTATGGAAATTGATATGAAAAAAATTGTTTTGAAAAATGTAATTATTATAAATTCTAAAAAATGTAAATTTAAATTAAAAAAAAAAAATTGTTTAGGCGAATGTTGTTGGTAAATTCCTAGAAAAATTAAATGAGAAAGTTGGAGTTGCTGAATGTTACGTATCTGATTTAAAAGAACTAAATAGTACAGTAAAAAAAAGTTCAATTAAAATTGATGAATATAAAGAGACAATATCAATAATGGAAAAGAAGTTAGAGTCTATAAAAAATGAAACATTAAATGTTGAAGGTTGAATTTAGAATACATTTAATTTATAATTTCAATATTTTAAAACTAAATATTTATGTAAAATTTTGACTTTTATAGAGTGCAAACAAGAACTCCTTAAAATTAATAAAAAAATGTTGATTATTGACGAAAGTATTAATCCTATAAAAAAAAATCTAAGTGATATTAAAAACCAACTCATTGGTATAACCGATAAAATGATTTGTGAGTTTAAAATTAAAATAGTTATTTTTTAATTTCTTACATTGCAATTCATTAATTCAAAAAAAAAAATAAAAATATTCATTCCCTATTACTAATTAGCCATCGATCAAGAACTTAGACGTGAACAACGAAAAGAAGATGGTAAAAATCAATTCATTGAAAGAAAATTTCCTGAGTTGTGGAAAGCTGTAAAATGGTTAAGAAATTGTGATAAATCGTCCATCTTTCGTGGACAAGTTTTTGAACCTTTATTCACACAGGTATAATAAAATGAAAATTAAACATTTTTAAACAAATGCACTTACAATTTTAGCCTTTAAAATTATTTTAAATATTTAAACTATTACTATTGTAATTATAGATTGAAATTATTGAGCAAAAGAATGCCAAGTATATTGAAAATATTATTCCATATCGTGATATGATAGCATTTGTTTTTGAGTATGCAGAGGATTTGACTACATTTAATAATATAGTTAAAAGAGAAGGTTGGCAAAAAATTAATTCACTTTCAGCTCCATCTGCCAATCTTTTAATAAATGACACACCAAATTATAATATAAATAGTTTAAAGTATGCTATGGTCATTTTTAAAATAAGTATAATTTTTATTAATATATGTATAAGTTTTATTAATACAGTTTCTTGTAGACTTACTCAAGTATAATATGACTCTGAATGAGTTTGGTGTTAATCTAGAAATCTAGCTGGAAGATAATTCTTATAAAATTGTTAAATCTCAATAATAATCCTAAAAGATTAATAACAATTTTAAAATTTCTAATATAAATACATTTATGTTTTAGCTAAATGTATTCTATTCTTATTTAGATATTAAAATTGTTAATACAATATTTGTAATGAGGTAGCATTTATGTATAACGTCTGTAGACCAAGGGGGAGGGGTTTAAGAAAAGCTAAAAAATATGCTGAAATAATTCATGAATGCATCCTGATATTGTTAATTGGAAAGTTTCAAACATAGTAGGTGCTGGTTATAATTTTAAACGTTTACTTTATTTTAATTTCAATTTCATTTATCATTTAATTTTTTTTTTTTTTTTGCTAATCATATTAATTTCATTAATTTACATTTTATATGATTTATAATTAATATCCTATAAGTACCATCCATAAGTGTATTTATGGTTAAAAACAGTAAATAATTTATCATTTGAAATATTTATTCAAATTAATTTTATGAAATTAGTGATGACTAATGATAATTAATTTAATATTTATTAATGACAAATTCTTATATGATTATTAAAAATTACAAAATTGTTATTGATATGCATGAACAACTTTTTAGGTTAAATTTAAAATTAATGCTACTTAAGTTGTATTTTTATTAAAGTATTTAATTTTTTTGTTCTAAATTGATTATAAATGCACTAAATATTATGATTTTTTTGAAATAGGAAATTTGGTTTTTATTCATATGCATTAGACATGATTAAAACTCCACTTCCAGTAAGAAGATATTTAATTAGACAATATAATATGCATAGCATACCTATTGGCTCTAGTGATGTACTCAATTCTTTGCAAAATTTGCCTGATGATATCTCATTTTTATTTGCTGGTAATTATCATGATTTATAAAATTGAAGCTCGAAAATTTAATTAAAAAATTGATTTTTAAGTATTTTCAAATTTTTATTGTTTTGTTTTATGGATAATGCCTATTATTTTGTTTAACTGAGCTTTAATTTTATTTTTAGGAAACGATAAAGTTGTTTTAAAATATTCTTTGTATACTAATGAAAAAATTACTCATCAATCTCCAATAAATGAAGCACAATTTTTACTATTTTCTGTGGATTCTAATTTAATTCAATCGCTGAGTATCAGGTAACCAAAGCTTTGTTGATATCGTTAGTTAATAAATTATTATGTACAATTTAAAATTTAGATATTTGTAACCCTCTTACATAAATTGTTTCTCATCTAAATTAAAATAATGTGATATATTTTTGGCTTCCCTTCAATTTTAAACAATTTTATTAATTTTATATTTATAAATCACTATACTTCAATAAACATTTTGTTTTAAATAATAGAAAATTTAATAAAAATTTAACTTGTATAAAATATACTACACATATTGAAAAATGTGGTTGATTAGATTCAGAATATAATTTATCTAAAATTTTATTTTATTCAGAAAAGAAGAAATTAAAGCGAAATGCGAAAGTTATGAAAAAAAACAAACTGAATTGAATAACCTCTTAAAGAATACAGAAGACAGTCGCCAGCCTTATTTTGAAAAAAAAAAAGAAATAAATGGGAATATTATGAAATTTCAAGATCAACAAAGAGCTTTTGATAGAATAGTGAAAGATATACAGTTTATTCGAAGTTCACTTAAAAATGAAGAGGGAAGATCAACCGAATTTTTAAATCGAAATTCGGTTAGTTTAGTAGACCTCTTAATCAATAATCTTTGTATTGACTTATAATTTTATATTTTTTTTTGGTAGCAATTAATCAGTAAGTACTTAAGTTCAATGCAAGAAGTTGTTGAATTGTTTGACAATTATGCTACTGCTTCAAAAACGTTTACTGCATCAGCATTCATTGTTAATAATTGTTGTGAAAATAGTGATGAAGAAACCAAAATGCTGAAACAGTTAAAGTTGCTTTACGTAGCTAATATGGTATAATTGTCTTACATTGTAATTAATAATTGAATTTAAACTAGCTATAGGTAATTTTCATTTTTGTTATTAGAATAATTTTAGTGATTATCTGAAGTACATACAAAAATTGGAATTAGAATTGAAGAAAACATTAGAGGTAGCTTTACATTGGACTAAAGGGGTATCTCCATATGATAAAAACTTATTTAAACCGTATAATGATGCATTTGATACTATAGAGGAAAGTGATGTCTGCGATTTAGATAATGTTATTATTGAGAAAAGAGCCAAACTTAATTGTCTTTGCGTTGATCCAAAAGCTCCTCAGGTAATTCATTGCATTAACTGTATAAATATTTATATTACATTCCATTTATTATAGTTAATAAAAGAATATAAAGAGCGTAAGGTCAAAATAAAAGAACTCGAAAAAAAATTGGAGAATTTAACTAACGATTCCCAGTCTAAAGAAAAACAAATTGAAGCCATACATTCAATATGGTTGCCAAAACTACAAAAACTTGTTAGTTCTTTGTGTTCCAATTTTTCTAACTTTCTTACCACATTTGGTTGTAGTGGCTTGATCGAATTGGATGTTGGTGTTACAAGGGTAAATATTACAAGCTTGACCATTCTTCTTACAATATTTATGATTTGAATTTGATTTCTATTCATAGTACGATTATCATTCATATGGTCTATTGATTAAAGTACAATTTCGCAATGACCTTTCATCATTGAGACTTTTAGATGCTAAATGCCAAAGTGGTGGTGAACGTGCATTGACAACAGCTCTGTTTTTGTTGGCTCTTCAAGAAGTTACACATTTTCCATTTAGAATTGTTGATGAAATTAATCAGGTTTGTTTTCGATTTTTATAAAAAGATAATTACTATTTACTGATATACTGTGGTTATTTTATTCATTGTATATTATTTTTAGGGTATGGATAAAATTTATGAAAAAAAGCTTATGGAATTGTTTATGGAGTTGTTTGAAACTAGAAGTAACCAATATTTAATCATCACTCCAAAAGTTAGTTGCATAAAATAATAGAAATAGATATAAGAATTTGAAAAGAAAAAAAATGTATAGTTTTGTTTCTTATTTAGAAGCAAAACTTTTAACAGCTTTTTTTTTTAGTTTTTTTTAAAAAAATTTTCCTTTTATGATTGTCACTGCTTAATAATTTATTCTTCTTGGTCCTCTTGGTTTTTGGTTTTTAAGACCGTACCATTAAATAAAAATCTTATCATCTGTCCCTGTTATCTGCTTTTTTTTTATGATTTTTAAAGCAGTTTTGCAATTTTTTTAAATTCTATTTTGCTATTTTTTAGAGCATTAAAATCCCCGCCTAGTCATAATGTATTTTCTTTAGTCCTTTCCTCTTTAAAATCCTTAGCCTTAGTTCTATTTTTTTATTTTCAGCTATTATTAAATTGAATTAGTCTTTGACTTATAATTAACCATTTTTTTCAAATGTATATAACTATGGATGACTTATATAACAAAGGGCTTGTATCTTGTATCTCACTAATTAATTTTTAAAATAGATATGCTTGTGAACATAATAGATAGTACATAGCTAAGAAAAATTATTTCGTATTTGATTTGTATCTAAACGTGACATCATTTTTAATTGCTTAAAACATATAATTCTTTTAAATTTATGATTTCAGTTGGTGCAAAACCTTTCTTTTAAAAACACAACAGTGATAATAATATTTTGTATCGCTAAGAACAATGAAGTAGATGAAGATGCGCTAATTGTGGAAGAAAACGAGGAAATAGAGGAAGAAGATGATTATGAAACAGAGGAAGACTAACTGTTCAATATTTCTTATCAAATATTATAATATAATATTGTTACTAATTTTTTATTTTTTATACATGTGTATCATATATTTTTTATTTTTGTTGTAATGAAAGCACTATAATTTATAACCAAAGTAAATGTGTCTTAAATTGCTTAACGATAATTATTTTTATAATTATTTATAATACATTCTTCGATTAATAAATAATAAGTTGCCTTTTTATTTCCCAACTGCTGCACACACTTCAATGTCCATCTATAGAATAAAAAACCAATTACTATCATATTTAATTTTTTTTTTTTTTTTTTTTATTATTTAATTCACAAAATTATTATACACCAACTCATAAAAATCATTCTTAATCTACCGTCTAATAATGTCTAAAAAATAAAATAAAATAAAATAAAATAAAACAATGATTATACAATCAAACTTATCATCAACTTACATTATAATGATAATCTAAATTAAATGTACAAAAGAAAAGAAAAAAAAATAATAATAATGATAATAATAATAATAATAATAATAATAATAATGTGTTAAGGCACTAGTTAACCCATAATAGTATATATATGTATATATATATATTTATTTATACATGTATAACATATATAATTGAATAATTAATTTTTTCATTACGATGTACGGTATGCAATAATATTATTCACTATAAAAATCTAAACAAAGTACCTAGTAAAAATATAAATATATATGCATATAAATAGGTATATGGCAGCCGCGAAAATCAATACGAATGTATACCGAAAAAAAAAAAAAAATTTCTATCACAATACTTTTCGAGTACAAAAAAAAAAAAAACCGCTTGCTTCTGGTGTTCGACACGTCAATCGTTCACTTTTCGCCGTTCAAATATTTTCGTTCCGAACCCACTCGTCCTCAACCCATCCCGGGCGCCATCCCGCTGGAGCTCCGCGGCCGCCGTCGAGGTGTCGTCAGACCGTGCGCTCGGAGACGACGATTTCGTTTCCGGCGTGGACGACAGCGCGTGGCTCACCCGTTCGCGGGACCAGTCGGCCACCCGACCCGGTTGAACGGTTCACGCGGTTCCCTCCCCATGCACGTGCCATCGACACCGCCGTGACTTCACGACGAACACGATAACAATAATAATATCGAACGCGATACGAGAAAAACGATGAACCCCTCCACACCCATTCGCTATTTGAGTACCGCGTTTCGTAGCCGCGGTTAGTGTACGGGCAACAGCATACGAGTTTTCGAAAAGGCACTGAGATTATGTCCACGCGCGTCCTGCGTTCCTCTCCGGGATCAGCCGATCGAAATCCTTCAAAATGTGGTCTTATCGCGTCGACCCGTCGTCGGTTAGTCGCAGACGACGCGACATAACGGTCAATCGAAACGCAAACCGTTGTTTTCGGAGAGCGGACCAAAACGACTACGATGGTGGTACACGAGGTGTTAATGCGATTCCACGTGCACGGCTTACGCGCCATCGGTTGCGGCGGTTGTCGTTGCCGGGTGTCGGGGGCGCGGTCGAGAGGGAAGAACATGTACAATCATATAATATAGTAAATCGATATCACAATGAGGGGGGGAGGGAGAACCGACAAAGGAGTACGTGGTTTCCCGTTGATATGGGTAATAGTTATACGCGATTTAAAATATATATTGAAATTATAATATTATATTACAAAAAGGGCCTTTTTTCGATTAATTACAATAATAATAATAATTATAATAATTATAATAATAATAATAATAATAATAATAAAATGTGCACGTTATATAATAAATATACGATTGAAATAAAACAAGCGAGACTAGTTTTCGAGAAAAATAAATTAAAGTGTCCGCGGAACGCGTCCGACGGTTTTGCGATTTCACAAAAGTCGTCGCCGCAATCTCGGCTGAAGACCGCGCGCGAGAAACCGACGTAGGCACTGCCCCCCAGGTGCGGTACGTGGTGCTGCGGATCGTAAAAAGAAAAACATGTCTACGAGGATATTGTCGGCGCGCGCGGTCGGGACTTGAAAAGTGGTTGGGGCAGTAGTCCGAGGATCGGAATGATAAAACGTCCGCGAGTCGAGTGCGCGGTTTCAGAATGAGCGAGTAGGAAGATGGCTAACACACGGGCACCGAGCGTTTCCGTCCCTCGAACCACCGTAGGACCAGGATATCATTGCGTCGGCGATCTCCATCGGTTTTTCGGTCGTCACACATCGATGTATACCGGTTGAGCGTTTCATAATAAAAATTAGTAATAATAACAATAATGATTTATACATATCATGTGTACACACGAGTTAGTCGGTATGTATAATATATTACGTAGTAAATGTACATCATCATATAGGTATAATATAGTATATTATATAAATAACGTTTTTTTTTTGTTCTACGATATAATAACATTGCTATGTGGTACACCCTGTATGCTTAGTATGTGTGTGTGTGTATGTGTACAAAAATATTAACGCGTGATAATATATGTATGCCAAAGAAAAAATAATAAATTATAATAAGATCCGGTCGGCGGAACGCGACGCGAAAGAAAATTCGATTACACATATTTGTTTCGTTTATTTTCATTACTATTACTATATAATTAATGTAATTATACATTTATGTTTATATAATATGTAAGTATAGGAACTGAGAGCGGCCGGCGTGCGACGCGAGGATGTTCGACTGTTGTGCACGCGATAACAACACAATCCGTACAGCACGGAGTCGTCTCATCTCGTCCGCAGGACTCCGAGGGATCGGCGCAGGGACGTCGGGCCCGCGAGCATATTTATTCCATGTGTCGGTACTTGTGGGCCGTCATCTGCGACAGGCCCAGCACGGCGTACTGACAGCTCAGGCAGTGGTAGTGCGTTTGCTTGCCCGAGTGCACGCAACCACCCGGCTGGCCGCACGCCTGCGCCGGCGTAAACTTCTCGAAACCTGCGGCCATGATGGAGTCCAGCTTTTGGTGCTGGCGCCTGTGCGCCACTACCTTGTTGGTGTCCGTGCACACGAACTCGCACTTCAGGCAGTGGAAATGCGACGCTTTGTTCTGACCAGTGCCTGCGACAGACGGGGACAGAGAAAAAAAACGTAAATAAATATGAACCGTGTAGAATTTCGGAGGGTAGGTTTGTTATATCCGTATTACACTGTATTGCGTGATAGGATACGATAAGAAGTACACGTAAACGTAATACCGTGTAAAATGTCACTCGGCGGTGCCTTTTAATTGAACAACGCCCACGATATTATAATATTATTTGTACAGCCGACGGCGTGCTGCATAGAGACGGAAGACTCTCGTCTCCGTCTGCAGTTATTACCGATTTACCCTGCCGCGCGGACACGAGCGAAATTTCCGTATCGCAACTCGGGATGGGACATTTTTATACGTGGAGTGGGTTTTTAAAACTTTTGAGAAACTCTCGAGAAGTGAATGGGAAACTTCTTTTTACACAAATTACATTTCATAACCGTCTTACGTTTCGGTCGTTCGGGTTCTTATATCGATTATATCAGTACTGCAAGCATATGGGAGATTTGATTTTAGTGTAGGTATTTAGGGGCTTGTATACACCTCGTATTGCGAAGTACTACGCGCACTTGAGATCGTAACAATAAATCGTTATCGAAATAAAAAAAATTAATAGACACACAGTTATTACAAAATTATTACGATATAAATTTAACTGTTATCGTGCCACGTGACTAAAACTATTCGTTCCAAATAGACTGCCAGGAATTCATTGATAACCGAAATATGTTCCGCCCAACACGGCAACAAAATCGTCGATGAAACCGTGAATGGGTACGCGATCGATATTTTGAATGAGTAAACAATAAAATCAAAAGTGGCACCAAAAATACACTGTTTTGGTTCCACGAGGCTTTGATATTTATTTATTGAGGTAAAGGACGAACAAAAAACCGTTAAATTGCGGTTCGCTGGCAGGTATCGCGTGCATTTGTCTGAGATGTCATGTGTAATATGAAGATACGACTCGCGTATAAATCATTTGTATTAATGTGTAGTAAGTGTACTCACTTATGGCGGAAGTGTAAGCGCAATCGGCGCGTCCGCAAGAAACGTTAGCCCTGTACTGCTGGAAGTCGCCTCCCATCAATGTGTCGAGTCTGTATACGAGGAGGGAAAACAAACAGTATTAACAATAACGTACAATAATATTTGAAGACGAGAAAAGGATGATGATATTTGAATGGGAAGGCACGGTGGAACGAACGAGGACGATGACAGCGGAGATTGAATAGGATACGATGTGGTGATCAAGGATCATTTGTAGTCGGTCTTTGTGCGGGTAGAAAACTTATAGCAATGACCGTCATTACCTTTCGTGTCTGGCCGTGTGCTGTACGAATCGGGTCTTGTCGCAGAAACTGTAACCGCAGTCCTGACGCATACAATGGAAATGGGTCTGGTGTTCCCTGTAGCCGCAGTGCGTGTAGTGGCAGTCCTCGTTGAACCGGAACCGAAGGTATCCCTCGGGCACGGGTTCGTCCTTGAGTATGCGCATGGAGTTCTGGACGCGGGCCTTCCGCATCTCTGGGCTCATGTCCCGCGACGACGGCGATCCTGGCCGGTTGTGGTGCGGCGCCGCGGCGGACATCGCGTCGTTGCCCGCCGCCGCCGCCTCGCCGGCCCGGTTCAGCAGCCCGTTGTTGGACAACATGGTCTGGTGGTGGTTGAAGCCGGGCGGTGGTGCGAACATCATACCTGTACGCGGAAAAGGCCAAAGTTATTATTATTATAATTATTTATATAAAATATATCTGCTCGAATAAACACGTAATTCTTAGGAATGTAGCGATAAGAACATCTCCACTGGCCGCGTGAGTGGTGTAAGAGGGGGAAGGGGAGATCGGAAAAATCGGAAATAGGAGATTTCCTTCGTTCGGAAATGGTGCGCAATAAACGTTTCGAACGGACGCGAAAAACCGCCCGTATTATGCACGATCAGTTTCTATATGAAATCATGTTGCAGATCTATGCGTACAGTACATTTTTGCAAGGTTGTAACGCAGTAGCACGTACCGCTATAGAAGCATAGGAATCGTGTCGGTTGAAATTGACCACGTAAAAAGCTTTGAAATGTGAGTATCTTTTCGAGTCACCGTTTACTATCGAAGGTGTATGCCGTTATGACGTGTTGTAATTCGTAACGAAATACTTACTGGTCGGCGACGAGTACATGGCTTGGATTGCGGCGTGTGGCATGAAAGGCAATCCTTGGGATGTCATCAGAGACGCGAACTGCTGGTTGGCTGCTATGGCTGCCATAGCGGCACCGAATCCTGGCGGGTAAGGCGAGTGCGGCAGTCCAGCCGGATTGTTATCGCCAGTGATCGGCATCATGGTCAGGGCTGCAAGTATGACACGAGAAAATATTATACTATTGCACAAAAACGCCAACCTAAAACGTTTATGACTGAATTTAGACGTTAAAATTCATACCCGGCGGATGTTGTACGATCTCTTCGGTATCGTCGTTGTTGTTGTTGTTGATGTTTTCGGATTTTTGCATAAACGACGGTATGGCGCCGGGCGTGTGTTTGATGATGTGCGGCTTGAGCTTGTCCACTTCCGAGAAAGCCTGGAAATAAATGGAAAACAATAAATAAATACATTTTATTACCAATTACCATAACGTTAGAATATCTGGAATTCAAAGTATAAAATAAAATGTCCGCGTGTACGTTATTGTACGATTATGGAGACGGACTTCGGTTGTATATGGAAGTGATGAAGGTGATAGAGAGTATAAATATAAGTAGTATGTGTTGGTATGTTTTGAGTCCATTTTTACAGGGAGATTCAAAATATTTGATCGACAGACACAAGGTAAATTTTTTTTAGTTACCGTGTAAAAATGTATATTAAATATTTTTTACACATTTTTTATTTTACTAAAATAATTTTCACATATATTTTTCACATTTCGATTTAACATTCAAATAGACTGCATAATAATACACGAACGTAACAACCACCGTATTATTAAAATATATAGTGTGCATTTTTACACGGTAACTAAAAAAAATTTACCGTGTGTCTATCGGTCAAATATTTTAAATCTCCTATAAAAATGAACTCAGAATATACAAATACATACTACTAATATACGCCCTGTACAAATGTACCGTGGGAGCACACGGGTACACGCGTGATGCGACGACGCGGTGAGCTCTGCAGAAGACTCGAAATTGTTTTTAAATTAAATTTCAATGTGTTAAACCGCAAAAGCGGGTCTTCTCTTTCTACGGGGATCGCCCACGTTTTCCAATTTTTTTTGCACGCTAATTGAACACTAGCGCGCGCGCGTGCGTTATCACGGCAATTAATTTAAATAGTTTTGTACAAGAATACATTACAATAGTAATAGCGATACATACAAGTATCCCGTGTGTACACGAATGGCTTTAATTAAAAAAATTGTTTATTTAAATCTGCCACGGGGTAAGAGTGGGCGTGTTTCTTGGCGTTCCGAACGTGTGAGCACTTCGGTTAGGTTTCGGATACCAATACTTTGGTCACGAAATGTCATTTAAACGATTACAATACGAATTAATATAACGGCGAACGCTACGAATAAGGGTGTGCACGTTGCAGAACGGTTACAAAATATGCAATAATACATATATAATTGGTGTTCGTTATGAACGCGGTAACATTGTACTACGTTATCGTCGATTTGTCGTTTTTTTTTTCGTCCGTGCGTCTGTTTTTCTGCCATAACATAGACTCACACAATACATCGAACACAGCACGTCATAATACTCGAAGTTTCCGTAATTAACTACACGCGGACGTAACAAACGCGCGATGCAAACAAACTCATCTCGAATTCGCGATCGCCCGGAGTCGTATTGTTGGTTTTTTATTTTTTCACCAAGTCCTCTCGAAATCCTGACCGACTGGTATGATTGCCGCGGCATCAGTCTGTAAATGGAAACAAACCAGCTGCATTCGGGTAGAACGGATTCCGGGAGACGATAACGGCTTTTTACGGTTGAAAAAAAAAGCGTTTTCGAACGCTTCGTAGGTAGCGGGACACGTATCGGCGCGTTCGCGGATAAAAAGTATCCCTTTATACTTCAGTGCGCACATTTTTCCGAGCAGTTTCACGCGACAGATATCATATCCAATATTAATACATTACATGCGTGTTACATTTAGGTATGGCGCGCAAGCGTCTTTTCCCGTAAAACATTCATCCCGCGGCAATGACTAGAAAAAACGTGTCCCTCTCTCGATAAAGGTTTATATCGATTAATCATCTATGTTCGTGCATTGCACAACGTCGGAAAGCCACTAGCTTACGAAAATGGACGATTCTGCGCAAACACACACACTCGTAAACAATACGCCCAATATACGACTTATACGCATAGTTATTGTTATTGTGAAGTGGTCGGCGCGAAAGAAAAAAACAAAAAAAAAATCGAAGGTTAAATTGGCATAATATTATCTGTTATTTAAAAAATAATTTATAGTTTTATTATTTAATATTATACGATGCACTTGCATAAATTTATTATTACTTTCGATATACAACGTGAATCAATAAAAATCCGAAAGTAATAATTGCGATAAAAAATTATAAATCGTAACTATTTAATAATTTTTGATCATATTTCCCACATTTATCTATTGTTAAGACATCATCTCTACAATAGCGGTCGGACACGCATTGAGTTTTTTTCAATTATTTTTGACACTTTGCTCTGTCAACGAATACATATAATAATAAAACAACACCACAGTAAATAATTGTATCGCATTGTTATGGCTTTCTTAGCGCCGGTAGAGAATTCACGTATTCAAAGGAAAATGTGTTTTTTCGATGAAATTATATAGAAATAAGAATTGAATAAGAAAAAGAATAACCGTGTAGGTTTTTTTTCCTTATTCGATTATGAATTCGGAATGCATTTTTACGATGGCATATTGACTTTAAGCCGTTTGTGTTGCGAAACTCGTCCTATCTGCTCGAAAATTGATTAAAATATCCAACTATATTTCTTAAACACATCGCAACTGTGTCCGCGGAGTGCAGTGCTGACGCGAACGGTATTCTAATGATAAAGTAAAAAATAGACGACCGGTTTTTTAACGGATGTTACGTTGAAATGGCGACCACCGAGTCGTTTATTAAAAATTAAATTGCACGGGCGTTCCTGTTCGAACGTCATCACACGCGTACATACGAGTAACAACAATAAAAATAATAAATAATGAGTATTAACAATCGGAATTTATCGATGCAGTTGTGCACATATTTGAAAAACGATCGGAAACAATTTTCGTTATACTATTATAATATATCCCGGAATCGCTATTATTATTGATATTATTATTCGCGTTTATGGACGTATTTGCGTTCCACGCAAAAGTTTGTAGTCTCAGATAGTGAACCGGCTGCCCGACTTGTTGCCCGGCCGTTAGAAATCGTAATGCGTGACGAACCATGGGAAAACGGTCCGAGCGGAGGAAATCATTATGGCGAGATGAACGCTCGTTTAAAGGGGCAACACTCGTTTTTAATCGTTTTTTATTTCCGAAAAAATTAACACCCGGAAAAGGAACGTGTGGTGCGCAGGATAAAAAAAAAACCGCTATACACGGTGTGTGCGTGCTAATGCTGCTGCGTGTTCCTGCTGTTTACGCGCACATACGCCATCGTCGTCGTCGTCAATCATTTAACTCTTTCGTTACGCATGTCACTTGATTGCATATGTTCAAAAACAAGTTTGCGCCCCGAACGTTTTCCCCGGATTCGACGGTAATAATAATTATTGCAACTTGTACGTGGCCGGAAAAATAAAAAAAAAAAACGAAAGAAGAAATAATAATAATAAAACCCGGCAAAAGGGGTGAATGCGGAAACCGATGACATTGATGCTGATCGATTATCGATTTTCTCGGAGCCGCGTGGTGAGCATAATAATAATAATAAAAAGAGAGCCGGGTGCGTTTTTTTTCCATTCCTTTTGTCGTCGCATCATTAATCATTTTTTCGGAAGCGATTCGCGATCGATTAAAACTACTCGTTTCTTTTAAAAAATGATTTTTTCCTTCTTTTATTTCCTTAAAAAACAATTTTTTGTAGAAAAAGTTTTTTTTTTTTTAATGTGCTTGAAATTCTCACGAGATTGTTATTTTCGTTATTGTTAACGAAGTTGTTGATGCGAAATTCAAGACACGTAACTGGATACCCTTCGTTTCTTTACAAATATTGAGGGTTTTTTTTCACGCCATCATCAATTTTAATCAGCAGGGAGTTGATAGTGTGAAATGTGTACTTAAATTGATTAGAATCGAAACCGTTTAATGGGCGTCCGTGTAACACCTATACACGTACATATACAGATTTTACGGACGGAAATTTCCGAGTCCGAGTCGTGCCGATTTCCACACGTAATCGAAAGAACTCGAAACAAACAGTTAATGCGTTTCCGATTTCGTCTTGTCCACCACCGTCTTCGTGCGCAATATTCGCATCGGTCACCGGTAGGTGCTCGAGTCCGAACTTGATGTACAGAGAGAAGATACGCTTTGCTATTGCGTTACGGTCGCCGGTCGCGAGGCGTAGGTTGTGCACACGGAAAATTGATTGAATCGAAATCAATATCGAAACAAGCACGTCGTTCGCGACAAGTCCGTCGTACCGTCAAGATCGATTGATCGTTGTCACCGTTACGGTACGACGCTTACAACGCGCGATACTGTGCTGACCGCGAGCGCAGCAAACACACGCGGCCGTCACGAGGGTTTTCAACGTTCCGTTTCCACGACGACGTGACCACGCAACGGTTGATTAAAAATCATCGCGTGTTGCAGTCGAACGAAACCACGATTCATCCATCCCCGCACAGCATCGGCGACCACGTATCGTTCTCCCGTTTTCGGACCGACAATCGAGTCGAGGGCGCATCCGTCAAAAGTAGTACTGCTGCTGCTCCTCCACCGTCAAACAGACGCGCTCCCGGTTCTTACGCGCTCAACACATCCGCAGGTAATCATGAAGAAGTACTGCTCAACCAAGATGGACCCGAAAGCGTTCGAGTTCGGCAGGGATGCTACGGGCCCGGGGCCAGCGGCGTACGGCATCAAGACCACGGTCGGCTGGCAGAACCGGATGCCGAACATCGCTAAAGGCCCGGCGTACACGTTCAAGCAGGTGCTGAAGGTGGACGACGCGACCGAGAGCCCGGGGCCGAAGTACAACCTAGAAAGGCTCACGTGCCACGGCAAGCAGGCCGTGCCCAAGTTCTACATGGGCCTGAACCTGCCCGAGATCCCGGACGAAGCGAGTCCGGGACCGGCGGCTTATATGGTCCAAAACATGCGATCTCGAGCCAAACCTAAAATACTGTTGCCGCTCCCCCGTTTGGATTCCGTAAGTCGCTGCGAGCCCCGTTTTCATCGCTTTTCCGTTTATATATACCGTATAGACAATGAGAATTATAAACGGGTAGTCACTAAATGGCTAAACACTAGCTGCAAACGGATTATATTGTGTTCGGGGTGCACGTCCCAGCACTGCGTTTTCTCGATGTAAATATTATTCTTTTATTAGATTTTTTTTTCCTTCAGTGCAACTTTATAGCAGACACATAAGAGATCCGCGAGTAAGCTTTATCAAACTCGTCGTGTATTCATCCCTTAATCGGCATAGGAAAAGTTTTTTCAAAACTTTTGAATTTTGAATTTCTATTAAAATTGTCTGTTTTAACCTTCAAAAAATTCTAACCTTTCCTTACACACAGCACGTAATATATTATATGTAAAAAATTCACGTATTTGCATAGAAAGCCGAGCAGCCCGGACCGAACCAGTATAAGCTGAAATCGACTTTATCAGGCAAGGCCGTCTCGCTTGCTAAGAAAATCGAAGTCGTGAATGACCCCGATTCGCCCGGACCGGCCGTGTACAAGCCGGTACCGACCAGTAAGTATCTGAATAGATCGCCGAGATACACTTTGGCCAAGAAATTCGAAGACCCACTGGTAGCCAACGAGTACAAAAGTCAAGCACCGGGCCCACAGGCGTACAAACCTTCGCCCGACTACAAGTATAAAAGAAGTCCGAAGTACTCGTTCGGCATGCGCCGTCCCGATAAATTTGTACCACTAATTATATGTGGTGACGATGTGAAAAAATGATAACAGAGATTAGATACGTGTTAGATTTGATGGAAATTAATGCCTGTGCGGAGTATATAAATAATTATTGTACGTGTAAATATTTACGGCCGATATTGATTTATAAAATCCATCATAAAGTATAAAATATAAACGATTACATTGAGTAAAATTATATAATAGGGTGCGGCGGAGCCGACTGACGAGTGTTGAGAGGCTATAAAAAAAAAAAACGGTAAAATTGATAGAATCCTTTTTTTTAACTTTCAATTTTTTTTATTAATAAAAATCAGTAGGGATGGATGTGATGTTTAAAAATATTGTCATGAATGTATCCTCAGAAGGAAAATACACATTCTTAAATCAGGGGAAAATTGTTCCCTGGTCGGTTATTCTCTCTAGTGGTGACATAGGCTACCTAGCACGTTTCTTTGATTTAATTATGCGTATTTATTTCTTTTGAGACTACTTTTAAGATAAGGTTTTTATACATCGACTCCATACCATAGAAGACTTATAAATAAATCACAAAGGAAATCGTGACCATACCAATCGAAACGTTCCGAAAACCATTAGTGAACTTCAAAAATTGTCTTCAATAATGCTAATGACTACTATTTTGAAAATACGTTTTCAAAAAATAAGTTTAATAAAAAAAATGGTTTTCTCCAATTATTACTGTTTGTTTTTTATAGCCCATCAAACCTTGTTAGCTCTATCGCATCATGTATAATGATTTAAAATACAAATGAAAATTATTTGCATATTATAAAAAAATGTAGCTTAGTAACCAAGTAGAGAAATTATTAGAGGTTAGAGATAGAATATTAGAGGTATAAGTTGAAATTAGAAATAATGTTTATTAGAAATTTCTGGGTTATTTATAACATTCCGAAAGATATTAAAAATAAAAAAAAATGATTTCTAACATTTTATTATAAAATTTATTTTACTTGATTTCTTTATGAGTATATAAAATTCTTCTAATACAGGAATACCATATGAGATTGAACATAAATGAAAACATAAATATTACTAAATAATTAAAATAATGTTTACGTAAATTCTGTTTTGGAAGAATTTTATATATATTACAGGTTATATTATAGGCATTATGGAATATTAATCAATGTACACATTGCTTGGGTGTAATTTGGTCCTACCAATATATTGTTGTCTGATTGTATTGCATAAATATAATTTTTTTCAGTGTGATACAGGAAACAAAATAAATAACTTAGAATAATATAAATAGTGAGTAAAAAATATTATACTGATATTTTATAGGTTATTTTGTTCTGTATTACAATAAAATTATAAGAAATTATTAGTAAAATATTTTACAGTATATCATTACGAGTATAAGTTTAATAGTTATTTATATTTATTCAAAGCTTCAATAATTATAAATACCTATAAAATATCAGTATAATATTTCTTACTCATTATTAATATTATTCTAAGTCATTTCTTTTGTTTCCCACATCACATTGAAAAAAAATTATATCTATGCAATACAATCGGACAACAATATATTGGCCGGACCGAATTGCCCAAGCAATGTGTACTCGCCCGATGTTCCATATTGCCCGTAATATATATACAATTCTTCCGATACAGAATTTACGTAGACATTATTATGATTATTTAATAATATTTATGTCTTCATTTATGTCCAATTTCATATGATAATTCTGTATTGGAAAAATTGTAAATATACGGTAATTAAGAAAAATAAATTTAATAATAAAATTTTAGAAATCATATTCTCATTCCATATTTTTAAATAACCAAGGAATTTCTCATAACATTTTTATAATACTTATATATTAACTCATTTACAAAAAAAAAAAAAAAGAAAAAATAGCGATTAATTTTACTAAACTAAATATTCTTCGAAATAAAAATGTAAACAATGTTCACTTGTATTTCAATTTATTTTTATATTTAGTGTATTTTCTAGCTTATGATGATTTTTTAATAATCCCGGTCGTAAATATTTACATATATAAAAATTATTCAAAATTATTTTTAATAAATTTTTTATACGCTCAGAAATATTTAGTATTTATTCATTTAAGTATAAAGTACTGATTGACTACAAAACTATTTTATTTATTTAAATTTGATTTTTTAAACAACGAAAATCAAAGATAATATAATTTTTTTCTATTTACCTGATTGCATGCATTACAGTGATAGTGTTCTTTCCGCTTAAGTTTACAGAAGGCGCGACTGCACGGTAGCTCGGGTCCGTATTTCTCATGTCGCTCTAAACTCATCCATTCTGGTAAGACTTGTATGGTAACGACTGGTTCGATACTCAAACTGGGATCCGTTTTCGGTTTATCTACATTGAAAAAATAAAAATAAAAATAAAACACCTAATTGTATTAACTTTTAATAATATACGGCTTAAATTATGTATACCCGATCTTATTTCATCTTATTTTATACATAATCACCATAAAATAATGCAAATGATTAACTACAAAGAACTGTGTATGTGTATTAAGTCTTTTGACTTATTTAGTACGTGAAAATAATAAATCGTTTGCTTACAGTCTTGATCAAATACACCAGAAAAAGCGAAGATAATAATGTACACATAATTTAGGTATACGTGTTTATTTATAGATATATACGTGTATATGTACAAACATACAATTACGACTAAAATAATTTATCATTTCTGCATGACCCACCTGTCAGGGTTGCAGGGTCTGAAAAATTTGGAGAGGAACTCTTAGCGTTCGATAGGCCGCTCATAGGGTAGAAAGTGCCCGAAGCCTTCACCACTTAAAACAAGACAGAAAAAACACAATCAAGACAAAAAAATACTACGCTTAGTTATTTTGTTTAAAAAATAAAATCGAATAAAAATTTAAATTTCAATAGTAAAAACACTTACCCGTTGTAGACCGTTGGCTCGTAGCTGAATCGGATGGTGAAGGTGTGGTTTGGGGCCTGGTCGGAGACATGATCTCTTCTTTGATTTGAGTTTCTAAAAAACCGATGAAATAATAATTAATATTTGATTAGTTTTTTTTCTTTTTTTTCTTTTTTAATATTCGATTTGTAACACGCGATTTAATATTTAGCGGATCGTTACCTAATTTATCAGTAATTTGTAGGCCGGCGGTGGCTTGATGCTGTAACAAATGTTGAGCCATTTGCGTGTATCTAGTGAACGAGAAACCGCATCCCGCTCTCACGCAATGAAAATGTTTGTTGATCGTATTGCTGTGGAAATCGAAACGGAACATAAAATAACGATTGTCCTTCGGTTATACATGTATAAAGAGGGAGCGGATACACAACAATAGAATAGTAAATGTCGTTTGGTTTTCCACTCACTTTGCGCACGTCTCCAACCGACAGTCGACCGAGCTGTCGAAGAACAAAAATCCCTCCATGATGGTCACGTTGTCGTGGAAATGCGTCGAGTGTGCTTGCAGTTGTTCGTCGTTGTCGGTGGCGAAAAAGCACCTGGGTCGACGGCAATGATAATGCAACGCGACACCTTCGCTGGTGTACTTACAAAGATTGTCCGGACACCCGTAACGGTACTCTTCGAAACAATGTTGTTCCTGAAATCACGCAAAACCATGTTACAGTGTACGTACGAATATACATAATTGTTGTATTTGTCGTAATGCCCGCGCAGTTATCACGAGATAAAAAGAATACGCGTAGAATTGATGCGGCTCGGTACTACGGATAGTAGATATATGGGCGAGTACGGTATACATGTATCAATAGAAATGCGAAGTCGCGAGTTTTACCAGTGTGGTCTGAGTCGGGACTTCCGCTTCTTCCGACTGTTGTCCCGATTGCGATGGTTTGGGCAACTTGAAACTAGTGAATATCGCTTGCGGAGAATCGCCTGTGGACCCGCCGGCGTAGTCGTTCCACACCTCGATCACACGGTTCTTCGGCGGCCGGCCACGCTTCCTCCTGAACAAAGCGTCCAACGAGTTGTACTGACCGTAAGGGATGTCGTGGCTCTTGATGTGTTCGCCCCGTTCCGACGGCAACACGGCCTCGTAACATCCTTCCTGGAAGTGCACGAGTCCTTGTTAGATTAAAAAAAGACGGCTACGTTGTCGACGGTAGTACGTCAAATCTTCGACGACGAACGGGTAACAACAACCGGAAACCAAAAGGGACTTACGTGTGCGTGAAGAACCGCTGGGCAATATGGAGGATATGGTCGGAGCGGGAACATATGTTAGAGGATAGATATTATATGATCGAAATGATACCGAAGCAAGTATAGCCGGGCTTACACCGCGTTCTTGAGACTTACCAAAACACAATGAAAATGTTGTTCCTTGGTGCACGTGTCCTGGCAGTACGCAGGTCCGCCGGGGTAAAAGCTCTCGCTGATTCGCTCCTGATTGTCGTGGTTGCGCGCGTGCATCTCCGCGGATTCTTGACTTCTATCGGGGTAAGAGCAAAACGGGTTTAGAAAAGTCCTCCCCTCGTCCGCACGCAGTACAAGTAAACACGACAACGTTACAATACATAAGTGCGTATAGTTATATAGAACCAGTGGGGCGCGTCAAGACTAAACCCACCTACCACGTAAATCTTCAAACGATCGAATTTACGCCTCGGATCACAAAAATACATGATCGTCTGTTGAAATGTATTTAATTTTTTAAATTAAATTGCAATTGTTGGATACCACGAAACATCAATTCAATTCTTTCGTTATATTGTTTTATTCTACACGTATTTTCCGATCTTATGATATGTGAAAAGTGCTAGAGCAGATAACGCGTTCGGATCGTAAATGATGATAAATTGCATGACGGTGGCTGTTAACGTTATGAAATCGTCCTACGGATTACAACTACCGCACTATAATATTGTACCGCAAGCATTTGAGCGTTTTTTTTTTTTTTAAATTGTTTATGTTTTGTCAAACGTACTTGATGGGCGCGTCGCAGTTGGGTTCCTTGCAGTGGAAATGGTCAGAATCATAAACGACACAGCCCGAGCCGCCCGTGCACGTGTTCGGTTTGAACCGGGTCAGGTATCTGGGCCACATCTCCACGTCATCGGGTGACCCGGCGTCCGGGGCCGCGGACGAGTTGTCCGTGAAGAACCCTTGGCCGCCGCTGCTCGTTTTAGACACGGCCCGCGGCGTGGTGGACACCGGCGACATGGGGCCGCCGGCGTCGCTGGAGCTGTTGCTGTAGCTGGCCGCGTCGCCGGCCTGCGCGGCCAATGCGGACAGCGAGGCCAGTGAGTTGGCTTGCTGGTGCAGGAACTGCAGCGAGCCACTCGGTGATATCGACAACTCGTTCATCTGCGAATCCGCCGCGGCGTGAGCTTGTCTCGCGTCCCACGGTATCCATTCGTCGTCACTTACCTGGTCGCCCGGGTTCATGCCCCCGCCCCCGCCACCCCCACCGCTGCCCGCGGTACCGGTCATGTTCATCACGGCCTGTTGGGCCAGTTTGAATTTCCTGTACGCTATCTCGCTGTCCTTGCGCTCGTGCTTCCGCTTATGGCTCAACAGTTGCCCGCTGGAATGCAGCACGTAGTTGCAACCGTCCCTCACGCAGTGGATGTGATTGCACACCTGCGAGAACCGGCAGTTGGAGAAGCCGCACGGGTCCGGTTTCATGAACTTTTTGAACCCGTCCCTGGCCAACTGTTCGTCCTTGATGTGATAGGTTTTGTGTTTTTCTGCGTTCGGCACGGGGGAAAAAACGAAAAAAAAAAAACGGTTAATTTATCAATATTACGAAAATTCCCGAGCGACTACTGAAATGCGCGCGCGATTTAAACGCATCTTCATCGAGACTCACCCATGTCGGCTTTGTTCTTGAACGTGAACTGGCAGTGATCGCGTCTGCAATGGAAATGAGTGGTCCGTTGTCCGTAGAATCCGCAGTACGGCGTCCGGCATTCCTCGGTGGCTCGGAGTCGCTGGAACCCTTCTTGTATAATAGCCGAGTCCTTTCGATGGTAGTTCGCGTGCATTTGCACGTCCGACGTACTGATGTACACCTTATCGCACGTGCCCTGCAACATGTACGTGTGTTATGCGTGAACAATCGGATGGCGATGACAACAGTTTTAAGGGGAAAAAAGATACCAGTCGATAACAGTTACTTTTCAGGACAAGCTAAAAACTTAATAAAGTAAAATATTTTAGATTTTTTCCAGATCCGTTTTCAATTTTCTTCGAATTTAATTTTTATAGATTTTTTTAGAATATTTAAAAATAGTTAAAACTACGTTTTACCGTAAGTTGCGAAAGTCATCACAAAACAAATAAGAATGACTTGTGCCCCTTTACCTGAAAACCATCCTATTTTACGTGTTTGCATCATCATTGTCGCTGCACTACGCGTCGCAACAATTGGTAAATAATTATACACGACTGGTAAATAAAGACCTCACCTGTATGCAATGATAATGAGTTTGCTTGCGGTTGTGACTGCAGCCCTGATACCTATCGGAACAGTCGTCGCTGGGCGAGTATCTCATGAAACCGTGTTGTAAGCTTTCGTCCCTCTTTTTGTGCCACTTGAAGTGTCTAATCATTTCTTCTTTCTTCACGAAAACTCTCGAGTTGCAGTCGAGACAATGGAAGTGTTCTCTGAAACGTTATTACAAACGGAACGGTTACAATGATGACGATGATGATAATAATAATATATCACGCGTTTACGCGACGTCGTTTAATGCGATAATCATCAATCTGTCAAAACCGAATAGTTTATTATTATGACGTACCTGTAGTTCAGATCTCGACATCGGGCCGACCCGCATTCTTGACAGCTACTGAACCTCCTCACATAACGCGAATAATCGCTACTGGTCGGGGTCGAACTTCCGCCCCCCGTTGACGCTCCCTGCAGTACCATAGTCACGTTGTTAAGGGCCGAAACGATCGACGATGGGGTGGCCGCCTGAGGTTCGGATCTGGTCGTGGTCAGTGCCAACGGACTCAAGGATCGTATAGATATTCCGTTATCTGCGAAAAACAAAAATATAAAATGAATCCGTGAAACATAAAATAGTACATAACACTCCAATACATAATATATTACGTTATATGTGTTAAGAACACGCACGACTTATAAGTCATCTTTGGGACGGGTGTCGAGTTACTCGTTCGGTTCTCAGCGAGGCCATGAGAAAAACGAGCAATTTTTATCAAATCCTCCTTATAAAGAATCCGTATATTGCGAAAACAAAACAATAACGACAATACGAGAAGCCACCGGATAGGGTTAAATCATTGTGTTCCCGGTAACCTGAGCTGTCCGTGTCACCTTATTTTACCCCATAAAAAAAAAAAAAAAATAGCGTGTCCCTTTCTTTGTATACGTACGCGCGTGTAGTACGAAAATATAATAACAGTACATAATATAAAGTTGCAGAATGATTTTTTTTTTTTTGTGTAAAAAAAAGATATATACATAAGGTGGCAGACACGTAACCCGATGCTGGGCGAAAGGGGTGACACACGCAAGGAAAGACCGGACTGTTTTCCCATAATTACGTAGACTCTTGCAGTGGTCCAGGTGCGTGTAGAAACGAAATAATAAATCCTCTGCGAGACCAACCCTTTCGACGAAAAAAAAGGTCACCGTCTTTTTGTGAAAAAAAAATAAATAAAAAATAAATAAACGTAAAGAAAAAAAGAGCGAATAATACAATGAAACATGTGATGTTTAAAAAGGGAAATTTATCAAAAAGGGAATCATATACATTGTGTTATATTTTTAAAGGAGTTTACTGTCGGTTTCGTAAGATTATTATTTTTATTTTTTACCATTACATGACATTTTTTTCTCTTTTCGAATTCCCAGGAACGCGAAGTTTTAATATATTCATCGAACAATAATTCAGAACAACACCCAGTCATCACTAATCCAATAGTTATTATTATTATTTTTTTTTTTAATGCACGCCACCTCTGAGTATTCACGAATCTTGGAATCACAATACATTGTGTAAGTAATAGTAATAATAATAATAATTATTATAATAATTATAATACGTCGATTTAAAACAATGATCATTCGAAATAAAAAGTAATTAAGAATAGTATTTGATTTTTCTGCTTTATTCCTGCGGCCCGTGGAACGTATTAAGAGTGACGTCAAGGAAATCACGTGGGACAAAACACACTCAACTAGACCAAACCCAAAGACTAAACGTGTACAAAATATAATATAAAAGCGTTATTATGTTCTATGGCAGTTGCAAGTCATTCATTATGTCTTGAGCTCCGCCCTTGACACGGATAGTTTTATAAGTAAGAAAGAGGAATAAACGGCAATAGTAATAATAATAATAATAATAATAATATTATTATTATTATTATTATTATTATAATATTATCTAGTCTTGTGTGTTTAACCATTTTTAAAAGATTCTGTTTGAAGATTCTAGTGGATAATACAAAATAAAAAAATTAAAAAAAAAAACAAGGAAAGATAAACAAAGTTAGCTTTACGGCCAGTATATTTCGGCCGATATATGGGAGTCCAAGGATTTTACGCTACCCAATATCGAGATAAAGTTCTTTTTTATGCGAACTCATGCCCCGTGTATTAATGAAGAATTGTAATTTATATAAAAATACTGTTTCGCACAACGAAATATTTCGTTATCGTTATGTCGCAATGTCTCCGATTGAAAGTTTACAATTCTCCACCCCTCCTGGATTTTTTTGTTTTGTTTTGCCATTGTCATATTGTGTGCGAAATTGAAAACTTATCAGATTAGGTATAAACATGTTTAGGTGGCCATCGTATCTGGAAGAAATAGGGACACAACACAAATTAAAAAAAAAAAAGAAACGAAAGAATATCATAATGAACATAGTTTTATTGTTCTAATGAAAACTATTGATCTCTGAGTAAACCAGGTATTTTTTTTTATTATTATTTTTATTTTTTTTTTTTTTATTACATTATCGAACTTTAAACTTTTTAGCCATTGTTCGAGTACCCATTGTACGACTGCAAAAAAAAAAAAGTTTAAACGCACAGGCCTCGTAGACATTTCATAAAAACTCAATCACCATGGTAACCGATTATTGTTGATATTATTGGAAATTCTTTTTTCTTATTCTTTTTTTTTTATGCCTCCTCTTTTCCCGACTTCTGAACATTTCCTGCTCTTGTCTCACCACGTCGACTTTAAAATTGATTATTCAGCAAATTCGTCTTTCCACCTATAAGCTGATTCAATACAAATCGGTTTAGTTTTGCGTTTCTCTTTCTTCGTCTCTTTCTCTTCATGTTCTTCTCACTTACTCGCCGTTTCTTAGTGTGCGCGCACCATATAAAAAAAAAATAAAAAAATAAAAAAATAAAACAAAACAAACGCCGCCACCATTTTTGCGAAAATCCCGGGCGGTTATCAAAAACCCATCACATCCGGTGCGCAGGGTGTACTATAGGGGTTCTGTCGCACAAGTGTCACACAGCCGCGGCGGCAGTGGCTACCGTAATACATTATTATAACAAGTGAAACACGATATCATGCACGCGGTCGAACTTTATCTTCTGTAGCCTATAGTATACATTATACAATCTGGGGTACGCGCACGCTTTGATTTTGTCGGATGGTTTCTTTTTTAGCTTACTATTGTAAACATCCAGCCACGGATTTAACACCCCTACATTTTTCCACTTCCTCCCGCACACCACTACAAATATATCTCGTATACTCGCACGCATTCATATACGTATATATATGTACATTTTATGTGTACGTCCTACCGAATTTCTCGCGTATCATTTTTCCCGTGGATGCAGTGAAAATTACCTCGGGCACAAATCCATTTAGTATCGGTGTCACCTGCGATACACACACATGCGCACGCACACACGCCCGCGCGCACATAAAAAATACATATTTCGTCCCATAATTCATCGGATACGCGTTTTGAAAGGGATGGTTTAACAAAAAAAAAAAAAAAAATAAAAATAAAAATGCCATTTTTACTACCGTGTGTATACGGATTTCACGGGTTAAACACCGTGTTTTTTTCCCCACCAACGTCCTTTTTACAGAAAATTTAAAAATGATGATGAAAAGACACGATAATGGTATTTGAATTGTACGCGCAACGTGTCTTAAAGACGTATGAGGTCATGACGAAGCATAAACCGAAACGCTTATAGAGGTGTGGGCACGACTCCTCCGTATAGAACTACTGCGGGATTTAGTGGCGATAGAGTGTGCGTAAGAGAGTGAGAGAGTGAGAGAGAGAGAGTGAGTGGGAAAGAAAGACCGAAAAAAAAGAAATAAAAGAAATCGTTTTATTTTATTTTATTATTATTATTATTTTTTCTGTATAATATTTTTCTATCGGTATTATACAAATACACGCGGCATTGTACAACCCGTTAAAAAAAGAACATGTGGGTAAAATGAATTTTAACAGAAAATATCCATGTATGCGGCCACCGCCACTGGAGGTATTTGTTCGTGTCTTCGCAGTGAAATCTTTGATATTTTTTCATCGTGATTAATGGGCAGACTCGTTCCGTTATCTATTCAATGCCAGAAACAACAAGGAAAAACGTTTTACTTCATTTTTTTATTCCTTTCGCTTTTTGACTTTTCAGCCCTCTATCCGCGTTTTCGCCTTAATGACAACTGTGCGAGTACAAGTCTTTTATTTTTACTTTCCGCGCAGTCTGCACGTATTTCCAAAACCGTTGTAATTCGTGTTATTATTTGATATTTTATTTTTTTTATTTTTTTTTTTTCGTCTTTTTTTCCCCGCACGCGAAATGATCGAATTACGGAATCTATTCGCGGTGATACGGATCTCTTTCTCTTCCGTTTACGTCGGTTTTTCTCGCGTGCGGTTTTATTTCATCCGACTCGCGTCACGGTCTATAGGCCGTGCGATTAAGCAAAAACGCTAAGAACGGAAGGCAGACGGACAGACGGCGGTCGGATGGGGTGAGTGGGCGAAATATAATAAACCAACCGTAGCAGCGGAGAATACTATAATATTATATTATTGTGCAATACGATCGTTGTCGCATGATCCGGATCCGAACTATAGTTTTACGTGTACCGCGACTATTGTATAATAAATATGTAAATAATATATTATTTCATTTCGCAACGTTTTTATTATTATAATTTTTTTTTTTTACCTCGTGAAATTGCAAAAATATGTAAACAGACGCGTATTATATGTCGAAACGATTTAGAAACGTTGCCAAGGAGCGACGGAGAAGTTTTCGTTTTACAATAAATTTGACGTATGCGTGTCGGTAGCATATGCGCGTGTATGCGATAGATAACATCGTTTCGATATTATTATTTTGTTATTACGGGTTGCAGCGCGGTGTTATGTTTGCTAATATTTCGAGCTGCATTAATTCGATGATAATTTCAAGAACATGTTATGAACGTATCCCGGCCAAAGCGTTCGAGTTTTATAGAACAACACATTTGGTTTATTTCATGGGTCGCACACTTTAATCTACGCACATCTACGGTTTTTATTTTCATTTGTATTAACACGTAATTTTTTTCGTATACATAAACTCTTAGGTGTACCCTGTGGTGACGACGATGAGGCCAGTGTGAACACACATTAGTTACGTTTATTACGAGTTATTTATCGGACAGCGTTCATCGGGGGAGAAAAAAATACGTTTTCAAAAAGCAAGTGGCAAATCATTATCGTCATTAGTGTCCGTCCCGTCGTAATAATTACCGTCGGCATCGTAATGTACACGCCGTTCGTGTTTCATTCGACGGTTCGTCGTGTTTCTCTACTCGAATATTTTATCGAGTGCACAGGGGGTACACATTGCGGGCGCGTGTTGCTGCGTAGGATTGTTGTTTTTAAAACGAAATGCGCAGTCGGGAGAGCGCGTCCAACAACGACGGCTCGGACGAGACAAATGCAACAACGCTTTTATCACCTGGTCCCGCGGAGGCCGTCTTATTATCATACATGTATTACCAAAATACTCGTATATCATA